ACCCACAGCAGCCTCTCGGGGGGTGGGGGGGCACCCAGATAATAAATACTCGACTCCTCTCTCCTCCCGTCTCTGGCTTTGACCCCACCAGGAAGCCAGAGAACCAGGGACGCTGTCATGCAGTCTCATCCCTGGAGGACAGTCTTGCTGGAGGCCAGCAGGATGGAAAGGGTGGAGAGTAGGTCTGCAGGGAAAACAGAGGACATCCAGGAGCATTCCCACAGTTACTCTGCGTCACTGAAGATGCTTTTCAGGATAAAACACTTGGCTGACAGTCGCTCAACGGCAGAGATTTGCATTTCTCACACGGCAGAGATCTGGAGGTGTGCAGGTGTAGGCTTTCGCTCAGCACTGGGCGATGGTGTGGTTCTGGGTCAGGGTCTTTCCTCTCTGGATCTGAGGACGGCAGCCGAGGCGCCAAGCACCACCTCTGCACGGGAGTGAGCCAAGGAGCAGGGAGGGAAGGGCTGGGGTTCACCTCACCTCTGCCTCTGCTGGCTTCTGTTCGTCAGGGTCCTCCCCCTCGAGAGCTGGGCTGGGGTGGCCTTCCAGGGGGACCCTCCTCGTCTGCTGGCTTCTGTTCGTCAGGGTCCTCCCCCTCGAGAGCTGGGCTGGGGTGGCCTTCCAGGGGAACCCTCCTCGTCTGCTGGCTTCTGTTCATCCGAGTCCTCCCCCCTCGAGAGCTGGGCTGGGGTAGCCTTCCAGGGGGACCCTCCTCGTCTGCTGGCTTCTGTTCATCAGAGTCCTCCCCCCTCGAGAGCTGGGCTGGGGTGGCCTTCCAGGGGAACCCTCCTCGTCTGCTGGCTTCTGTTCATCAGAGTCCTCCCCCCTCGAGAGCTGGGCTGGGGTGGCCTTCCAGGGGGACCCTCCTCGTCTGCTGGCTTCTGTTCATCAGAGTCCTCCCCCCTCGAGAGCTGGGCTGCGGTGGCCTTCCAGGGGAACCCTCCTCGTCTGCTGGCTTCTGTTCGTCAGGGTCCTCCCCCTCGAGAGCTGGGCTGCGGTGGCCTTCCAGGGGAACCCTCCTCGTCTGCTGGCTTCTGTTCATCAGGGTCCTCCCCCCTCGAGAGCTGGGCTGCGGTGGCCTTCCAGGGGGACCCTCCTCGTCTGCTGGCTTCTGTTCGTCAGGGTCCTCCCCCTCGAGAGCTGGGCTGGGGTGGCCTTCCAGGGGAACCCTCCTCGTCTGCTGGCTTCTGTTCATCCGAGTCCTCCCCCCTCGAGAGCTGGGCTGGGGTAGCCTTCCAGGGGGACCCTCCTCGTCTGCTGGCTTCTGTTCATCAGAGTCCTCCCCCCTCGAGAGCTGGGCTGGGGTGGCCTTCCAGGGGAACCCTCCTCGTCTGCTGGCTTCTGTTCATCAGAGTCCTCCCCCCTCGAGAGCTGGGCTGGGGTGGCCTTCCAGGGGGACCCTCCTCGTCTGCTGGCTTCTGTTCATCAGAGTCCTCCCCCCTCGAGAGCTGGGCTGCGGTGGCCTTCCAGGGGAACCCTCCTCGTCTGCTGGCTTCTGTTCGTCAGGGTCCTCCCCCTCGAGAGCTGGGCTGCGGTGGCCTTCCAGGGGAACCCTCCTCGTCTGCTGGCTTCTGTTCATCAGGGTCCTCCCCCCTCGAGAGCTGGGCTGCGGTGGCCTTCCAGGGGGACCCTCCTCGTCTGCTGGCTTCTGTTCGTCAGAGTCCTCCCCCCTCGAGAGCTGGGCTGCGGTGGCCTTCCAGGGGGACCCTCCTCATCTGCTGGCTTCTGTTCGTCAGGGTCCTCCCCCCTCGAGAACTGGGCTGGGGTGGCCTTCCAGGGGAACCCTCCTCGTCTGCTGGCTTCTGTTCATCAGAGTCCTCCCCCCTCGAGAGCTGGGCTGGGGTGACCTTCCAGGGGGACCCTCCTCGTCTGCTGGCTTCTGTTCGTCAGGGTCCTCCCCCTCGAGAGCTGGGCTGGGGTGGCCTTCCAGGGGAACCCTCCTCGTCTGCTGGCTTCTGTTCATCCGAGTCCTCCCCCCTCGAGAGCTGGGCTGGGGTAGCCTTCCAGGGGGACCCTCCTCGTCTGCTGGCTTCTGTTCATCAGAGTCCTCCCCCCTCGAGAGCTGGGCTGGGGTGGCCTTCCAGGGGAACCCTCCTCGTCTGCTGGCTTCTGTTCATCAGAGTCCTCCCCCCTCGAGAGCTGGGCTGGGGTGGCCTTCCAGGGGGACCCTCCTCGTCTGCTGGCTTCTGTTCATCAGAGTCCTCCCCCCTCGAGAGCTGGGCTGCGGTGGCCTTCCAGGGGAACCCTCCTCGTCTGCTGGCTTCTGTTCGTCAGGGTCCTCCCCCTCGAGAGCTGGGCTGCGGTGGCCTTCCAGGGGAACCCTCCTCGTCTGCTGGCTTCTGTTCATCAGGGTCCTCCCCCCTCGAGAGCTGGGCTGCGGTGGCCTTCCAGGGGGACCCTCCTCGTCTGCTGGCTTCTGTTCGTCAGAGTCCTCCCCCCTCGAGAGCTGGGCTGCGGTGGCCTTCCAGGGGGACCCTCCTCATCTGCTGGCTTCTGTTCGTCAGGGTCCTCCCCCCTCGAGAGCTGGGCTGGGGTGGCCTTCCAGGGGAACCCTCCTCGTCTGCTGGCTTCTGTTCATCAGAGTCCTCCCCCCTCGAGAGCTGGGCTGGGGTGACCTTCCAGGGGGACCCTCCTCGTCTGCTGGCTTCTGTTCGTCAGGGTCCTCCCCCTCGAGAGCTGGGCTGGGGTGGCCTTCCAGGGGGACCCTCCTCGTCTGCTGGCTTCTGTTCGTCAGGGTCCTCCCCCTTGAGAGCTGGGCTGGGGTGGCCTTCCAGGGGAACCCTCCTCGTCTGCTGGCTTCTGTTCATCAGAGTCCTCCCCCCTTGAGAGCTGGGCTGGGGTGACCTTCCAGGGGGACCCTCCTCGAGGACAAGAAAGGGGAGATGGCTCTAGGCAAGTGGCAAAGGCTGTCATTCCTTGTGACAGGACAGTCACCCTCATCCTAGGGGTGCTCACCTCATGGTCTGGAAAATCTCTATGGGCTAGGGAAGCGCCCCCTGCCCTGTGGTGAACACACCCCCACCGCCCCACCCCTGTCAAGGCCTTTTCACTCTTGAACTCTATTCAGCCAAGAGTTGACTTTCCCAACAGGCCTCAGGAGCCAGTGACCTCAGGCTGCTTCTGCTTTCCACTCTGGAAAAATCCCAGAGGCAAGGAAATCTCAAATGGCTTTGCTACCTGCTTGGAATGAGTGAAGGAAAAACAAAACAGGAAATGTTAATATTTCCATAAATTACCTTGGCCTGGAATTCAGTATGGATTATTCCTTATGCTCAAAGCCAGGGCTGACTTTCCTGGACTGAACCCAGCCTGTTAAAATAGCAAAAGTGGGTCTTCCCTGGTGGTCTGGTGGTTAAGAATCTGCCTGTGAATGCAGAGGACACAGGTTCAATCCCTGGTTGGGGAACTAAAATCCTACATGCCGTGGGGGCAACTAGAGAAGCATGCGCCCTGCAGTAAAGAGCCCGCGTGCTACAACGAACATCAAGCACAGCCAAAAATAATAATAATTCTTAAAAAATCCAAAAGCTTCAGACCCAGTTATCAAACAGCTGCTGGCCCCCACTCTGTTTGCCCTCTGCAATCTGGCTGCCTCCGCCTCCCCCCAGAGACAGGGTTCAGGGCCTCTGTGGGCCTGTCCGGGCCGTGTCACCGTTCTCACTGGTCAGAGCGTCTGTTCAACAGTGTTTAAGTATTTTGAACATCCCCCTGCAGAGAATTCTAAAACAAAACTAAATTCACAACTTGGAGACAGAACTTCAAAGCTGATGAAGTCCAAATCCAGACCTGTAACACTGTCCTGCTTGCCCCGACCAGCTTCTCTCCAGATGCCCGTGACCCTGGGACCACAGAGCCCTGGACGCTCTGGAAATAGACGCAGTTTGCCCAGCTGGCTGATTTTCCTTCTCAGACTGGCTTATCCGTGAGGCCCGGGCTGGCCCAGGTCCGGAGCAGCAGATGCCCAGACCCTCTCTTAGTTTCTCAGACTCCCCATGTTCTTTTCTTGTTTGTTTCATGTCTATGTCTCTCACTGGGGTCTTGGCCCCATGAGGGCAGGGGTGCCCTGTGCTCTGTTCCTGTGGGTTGTCCCCGGGGTCCACATCAGGCCCTGGCCCAGGGGAGAGAAGGACTTTGTGTCCATGGTGCTGGAAAGTCTTTGACTGACAGCAAACATGCCGCCGGTGTATTACCTCCATTTGTCCTCTTCCCATTGTTCTGTGACAATTAAAATCCTTTCCTTGCTGTTTCCTCACTGTATCATGTGATGGTGCTAAGTTAAAGCCCCATTGTATCTGAAGCTCAAGCTTCATGCAATCACCAGTTTCTTAAGTTGTGAGTTATCACAGGCGGAGAGAATGTGTGTTTGAGGTTAGCAGCAGATACGGGACAGCATGTCTGCCAACCTGGGCAACCTGCCTGTGGCCACCCATGGGGGTGATTCCTTCACGTGCCCTCACACAGGCTCGAAGCTGCTTGGCTGGGCTGGTTTCGAGGTGACCTCTGGATGGCCCAGCATCTTTGTGTGATACTGTGCTTCTAGATGAGTCTTGCATTGAAAGCACTCTTTTCTGAGAACCCAAGGCCCCCCAGTGATGACCAGCTGGGATTCTCTGCGCCTAGTGCTGGGGCCACCTGTACTTAGGAGCTGGGAATCCTCCTGGCGCACTGGGAGCAGAACCCACCGCCCTGTGTCCTGGCTGCCCTGAGCCGGGACCTGCGGGACCTGAGCTCCCAGCCTGGGCACTGGTCTTGCCCTCAACGCCCTGGCAGACTCCTGGGCCACGTTGTGCCAGGGCAGCTGCCCTTTTCCCAGGCGCTGGGATGTCTGAGGCTGAGAGCCAGTTCAGGCTTCCGGGGGGGGCTTGGTCCCCTTTATCGCCCAAGGTTCCTAGATAACAGGAGGGAGATGGCTCTCGGGCTGGGTGGAGCCTGTGGGGTCCCGGAGGATATAAAAGGAGCGTGAGGCAGGCGCCCCGTATCTCCCCGACGGCAGCAACATGGCCCCTCTCTGGCTCCTCTCCTGTTTTGCCCTTGTAGGGGCCGCCTTCGGTGAGTGCCAGGATACATTCGGGGCTTCCCAGGTGGCACTGGTGGTGGAAAAACTGCCTCCCGATGCAGGAAACGTAAGAGATGCTGGTTTGATCCCTGGGTCAGGAAGATGCCCTGGAGGAGGGCATGGCCATCCGATCCGGTACTCTTGCCTGGAGAATCCCACGGACAGAGGAGCCTGGTGGGCTGCAGTCCATGGGGTCACAAAGAGTTGGACACAACTGAAGAGACTTAGCACACAGGGCCATGGCTGGCCAGGTCTGGGAGGCGGCTGAGGAAGTCCCAGAGCCCCTGAGCGCCTGACGGCCCCGAGCCAGGCCCCGTTAGAGGGCTGAGGGGCTCTGTCTGGAGCGAGCTGGGCCTGGCCGGGAGGGAGATCAGAGGCCTGCCCTCCCGCTTGGGCCTCACACCCCGACGGGCAGGCGAGGCTTCAGGGAGGAGCAGGGGCCTTTGGGAGCTTCCCGAGCCCTCACACTCTGCGCCTGGGGCAGGAAAGGCCAGTCCGGCCGCAAGAGGTCTGGGGCCCCGCCGTGGCTCAGGCTGGGGCTCTGTGGCAGAGTGAGGGTGTGGTCACAAGAGCCTCCCACGGCCTCCACCCGGGGCTATACCCCTCTAGGCACTTTCCAAGTGTTGTTTGTTTGTTTGTTTCTATTGAAAAAAAAATAGTGGGAAATACAGAAATACGGAAAATAATACCTCATTTGTACCTTTCATTGGAGTTTAGTAAATGTTACCTTTTTCCAGATTTGCTTCAGGTATTTCTTTTTAAAACATAGAACCAAAAAAATAAAATAAAGTGAAAAAATAAAACAGAACCATTTGAGCTAAAGTCCCCTCTTCTCCTTCTTGGAAGGTGACCCCTATTTTAAACTCACTGTGCGTTATTTCTGTGTGGGCTTTTCAAATTTACCACACGTTTCTAAATCCACCAGCACAGTATAATATTTGTAAAAACTTACATGAGCTGTATCATCTGCTACATCAGGTTTACAACCTGCCTTTCCCTACCTGCGTAGTTTTAGATTTATTCCTGTTAATACAGAGACCCAGCTCATTTACTTTAATTGCTGCGGAGCACTCAGCTGGGTGAATACATCACAGTTGATATTGAATCTTCTTGCTGCTCAAAAAAAAAAGGGTTGTGTTGATGACATGTATTTTGGGGATGAGGGGCTGGTCTGTCCACTCCTTCCGTGAGTGGCTGGTCTGTCCACACGGGCAGGAGACACTGGACTGGACCTGTAGCAATGCTCATATGACTTCCAGGTGGCCTGGCTGGTCATCAGGGCTGTACCTGCCCCACATTCCTCCCTGTCACTGAGTTGTAAAACCTGTATACAGGTGCCAAGACCTCACCTGTTTCTGAGACAGCACATGTGTCATGGACACATCAAGTACACCTGACTTTTCTCTTTGTTTTGTGACAGTTCAGGTCCTCTGTTTCCTGTTTTCCTCAATGTGTCCTTTTACAGCATGAAATCAAAGTCTCGATTTATTAAATAATTAAAATTTTATACAATGGAGAGTTCCTGAAATCTCTGGGAATAGAGATTTCAGTGTAAAACATTCTCCCATCAGCTGTCAGCATTCTGGGTTCCCCAGGGGCTGGGGTTATCAGATTTTAACTTCACGACCCCCCCGGACCCCACCAATCTAACAGGTGAGCTTTGACTTGTGAGGTGATGTTGCTTGCTCCCCAGAGTCCTGAGGAAAATGGGTATCAGGGATCTGGGGACCAGTGGGAGGCCTCCCAGCAAGGAGGGGCGGGCCTCAGCGTTCACACGGGTCAGTCCCGTGTCTCAGCCTGTCTCCTGCTCCTTCAGGCAGGGTGGCCCTCCGTCTGCATCCAGGGTGGGCTCCTGGGGTCGGTAGGCTGTGTGGGCATCTTTGAGCCCACAGGGTGCCAGGAGAAGTGGAGAGTGTGGCCTTGGGTTCCGAGTTGGCCTAGGCATCTGCAATAAAAGCGAGGATTTCTGCAGACCGGCTCTGGGTCTCAGCACTTCTTCACCCTCCCCAGGCTGCGGGGTCCCGGCCATCCAGCCTGTGCTGAGCGGCCTCGCCAGGATCGTCAACGGCGAGGACGCCGTGCCCGGCTCCTGGCCCTGGCAGGTGTCCCTGCAGGTGAGGGGGGTTCTGTGCGTGAGGGGTAGGCACTGGGGGCTCAGCTGGGCAGGGGGCCACTGCCCAGGTCGGTGTTGCAGGGTCCAGGGCACGCTGACCCTCCGCATCTTCCTGCAGGACAGCACCGGCTTCCACTTCTGCGGGGGCTCCCTCATCAGCGAGGACTGGGTGGTCACCGCCGCCCACTGCGGGGTCACGTGAGGGCCAGAGCTCTGGGTTCTGTTTCTGTCTTCGGTCTGGGGTGGGCGAGGGGAGCAGGGTGCATGCTCAGTCCTTAACCACCGCCTGATTCCCCCAGAACCTCCGATGTGGTCGTGGCCGGGGAGTTTGATCAGGGCTCAGAGACGGAGAACACGCAGGTCCTGAAGATTGGCAAGGTATGCACAGGCCTCGCTGGGCGGGCCGGGGGTCAGCCTGGGGGCTGCAGGCTGGGGCTGGGGAGGGGGCGAGGGGAAGACCTTCAGCCCCTTGAGAGACAGGAGCCAGAGCCAGTCTCAGGATTCTCACTCTGGGCTCCTGTGGGTCTGTTTGCCCTGAAAAGATCGCCAGGAGAGGAGATGGTCTCCTCAAAACCCGCGGATCCCTGATTTACCCCAGGGCCTCAGCTGTGCTTCTGGGCCTTGCCTGCAGGTTTTCAAGAACCCCAAGTTCAGCATTCTCACCGTCCGCAACGACATCACCCTGCTGAAGCTGGCAAAGCCTGCGCAGTTATCAGAGACCGTGTCGGCTGTGTGCCTGCCCAGCGCGGAAGAGGACTTCCCCGCCGGGATGCTGTGCGCCACCACGGGCTGGGGCAAGACCAAGTACAATGGTGAGCCTTTCCGCCCACCAGCTGGCGGCCTGGGGTGGGGCTCCCTGAGCCCAGGAGTTGCCAGGTGGCACACGCATGGTTATTTAAAGATGTTTTGGTCATCAATTCGTATACAGTCATCAACCTCCACATTTCTTTATTTAAAAACACTCACTTAAAAGCCAATCAAACATGAATAAAAATAAGGTTTAATAATACATACATGAACAGTCAGATTCTGAAGAAACACCTGAGTTCCAGCAAGTGTCGCCCCTCTAACCTGCATGGAGACAGACCACCCAGACTCCCTTCCAGACTGAGGAGGGTGGCTGTGTCCAGCACCCCTGAGGTCTGAACCCGGAGTCCAGTGTCCAGGTCAGATTTAGGCCTGAGTGCCGGCCAAAGCCTGCCTGTCCTTTAACAGGACGCAGGCACCTAGGAATGGAGGAGGAAATGGCAACCCACTCCAGTGTTGTTGCCAGAAAATTCCACAGACGGGGGAGCCTGGGGGGCTTCAGTCCCTGGGGTCACAAAGAGTCAGACACGGCTGAGCGACTGAGCACACAAGTGGCCAGGAAAGGGCAGAAGAGGGAGGTGCTCCCTCTGGGTCCCCCCAGCACCCCCAGACAGAGGAGGACTGGGGAGGAGGGACGGCGCCTCCACCCTCACGCAGGGCCCCGTGGGCCGGGCACAGGGGCTCAGAGGCAGGACTTGTTTGACCAGCTGTGCTGGGAGCGCAGACACACTGCCTGGTGTGGAACCGAGAGGAGCCGCCTCCCAGACTCTGGGAAGGTGGCGCTCAGCACCCACGACCGTCGTGACAGGAGGCCCATGCAGCGGGAGGGCAGGGTTCTGGCGCGCGCTGGTGTCCTCTCCCTGTGCCCTGACCCCACGCCCTCTGTCCTCTCAGCCCTCAAGACCCCTGACAAGCTGCAGCAGGCCACCCTGCCCATTGTGTCCAACACGGACTGCAAGAAGTACTGGGGCAGCAGGGTCACCGACGTGATGATCTGCGCGGGGGCCAGCGGCGTCTCCTCCTGCATGGTATGGCCTGCTACCCTGCCCACCCTCACTGGCTGCTTGCCCCTTCCCCACCACCACTCTAGTCAGGTCATGAGGCCCACTTCTCTCTGCCATGCCTTACTTAACCTCAGGCCCTTCCCGGTGCCCCAGCAAAGGCGTGGAGCAGCACCAGGAGGTGTCCCTGGCGCGGGCTGGCCCTGACCAGGTGTGGTGTGAGGCTTCCAGGGGTGTTTAATCTCACACCATGCTCACAAAGCGGACATTGCAGGCTGTTTTACAGGTGACGGGAGGCTGAGAGGACCAGCCCCTGCCCCAGGCCCCCCAGCAGTCGGGGGCAGAGCAGGGGCTGCCCTTTGAGCAGGTCCGAGTGCCCTTGCTCTGCACCCCCTGGGCTCAGCCAGCTCCAGGCAGACCGGGACCTGGCACCTTCTTTCTGGCTTGGACAGTCCTGTCTCCTCCTGCAGGGCGACTCTGGCGGCCCCCTGGTCTGCCAGAAGGACGGAGCCTGGACCCTGGCGGGCATCGTGTCCTGGGGCAGCAGCACGTGCTCCACATCCACACCCGCCGTGTACGCCCGCGTCACTGCACTTATGCCCTGGGTGCAGGAGACCCTGGCTGCCAACTGAGCCCGGACCTCCTGGCATCCCCACCCCGAAAGTCCTTAATAAAATCCACTGTACATAAGCGCGGTCTGCACATGGCTCCCTGTGTGGTCGGGGCAGCGTGGGGCTGCCGGGTCCCCCTCAACCACCAAGGGGCTGTTACTGCTCCCTTTCCAGGCTGCCAGTACCTCAGCACCCACACACATACACACTTCTCAGGAAGCTGAGGCTTTGAATCCCGTTCTCCCTGCTCAGGACTCCATCCTGGGGTGGAATCCAGGTCCTAATTGCTGGAGCCACCTTGACCCATGGAGCATTCTGGAAGGCGGGAATCTTGTGCCATCCACAGGGGTGAGCATTGGGAAGCTGGGGAGATGGTTTTCTAGCGTCCTTGGTTCCTCACCTGCACGTTTATGCACGACCCGTGTATACTGATGACACTTGTCCTTCCTGTCACAGAGGGGCCTGGGGCAGAATCCATGGCCCCAAAGCACTGGGTTTAAGGGAGAAGCAGACAGAATTACGACAGTTTGTTTCCCATTTTATCCTCCTGGAGCAAGGCCTACAGCCTCCACCATCGGTCCCAGCACACATCGGTCACACACACAGCCGCCGCCCCGGTTCACATTGTCCTCTCCCAGGTCTCATATTTCGATGTTTCCCTATAGAGTTCTTGCTGATCTGGTCTCAGAGGAGGCAGCCAGTAGTCCAGGCTAACAGGGCATCTGGGAGGGAATGCCATTGGTCTCCCTGCTGCATTTCCCTGTCAGTATCCTTCCTAATATCTTTCTCCTCCCAGTGTAATTTTAATTGTTCTGATAGTGGGTCATAGTATGTTGAAATTAAGGTGACACACACAATTAGTAACGAAACAGAGGACAAGCCCAAACAGTTAACCCTGATTTGGAGGATGAACATGTGAAAGGGTGGAAAAGACGTGAGAGAGGAGGGCTGGGCAGAGGAGAGGGCGTGAAGTAAATTATTTAACACGCTCCTTAAAGCCCAGTGTCTTAAGGAACACTGAGGGTTTGAGGTGGGGAGACTGCTCAAACTCAGGAGAGCAAAGTACAAGCATTTTATGTCTACATCAGAACCATTTACACACAGATGGATGTGGGATGTGATTCGCATTAAAATGGAGTAACAAGCACAAGACCAGTTAAGTTCCTTCTTCACTTAGTAGCCAGACCTGCCTTCACCTCTGCCCACCACCCCGCCAACCCATCTCCTGGAGTCTGAAAACCTGAATGCCAGGATGGAATTGCCACCTCGTGGCCCACGTGAAAACTGTGGGGCCGTGACTGGCCGCTGCCTGACTCAAGAAACGTGCGTGCGTGCATGCGGGCTCGCTCAGTCCTGTCTGACTCTGTGCGACCCCATGGACTGCAGCCCACCAGGCTCCTCTGCCCAGGGGGTTTCCCAGGCAAGAATACTGGAGTGGGTTGCCATGTCCTCCTCCAGGGGATCTTCCCTACCGAAGGATAGAATCCAAGTCTCCTGTGTCTCCTGCATTGGCAGGCAGGTTCTTTACCACTAGCGCCACCTGGGAAGCCTGACTTAGAAATGTAATGTGAGCCAAATGGATGATTTTAGATGATGTTATTATAGCCTTTCTAAAAACATCAAAAGAAATATGTGAATTAATTTTACTTATGTATTTTATTTAACTGAATATATCCAAATAATATCATTTCAATATGTTTTAAAATTACTGTTATATTCTACATTCTTTTTCTCATATTAATTGTTTGAATTCCCGTGTGTAATTTGCACTTAACAGCACATCTCTATTAGGATGCTAAATTTTCAAAAGGAATATTTGCTCCATATTTAAATGTCATAAAAAATTGCATTTTAAAAACTAGATTAGCATATCCAAGTAGTTTCCAATTAGGTGTTAAACTGAGAAGTATAGATAAATAAAAAGTTCCATTATTGAGAGTCTGTCCCAGTTTGTAAACAGACCCACTGTAGGGAAGGGTCTGCTTATGGGCCCTGCTGAGACTGCCTCATACAGTATTCTTTTTTTTTTTCTACTATTTATTTAATTTTAATTTTTAATAGACATATAGCTGATTTACAATGATGTGTTGTTACTGCTGTACAAAGTGATTCAGTTATGCATATATACGTTTTCATATTCTTTTCCATCATGGTTTATCAAAGGATATTGAATATAGTTCCCTGTGCTACACACAGGGACTTTGTTTTTTATCCATTCTGTATAATAATCTGCATCTGCTAACCCCAAACCCCCAGCCCATCCCTCTCCTGCCCCCTGCCCCTTGGCAACCGCCAGTCTAATGTTTGTGCCCCTGATTCTACTTCTGTTTCGTAGATACGTTCATTTATGTCATATTTAATGTGGTTAATTTATTTTTGGCCTGTGCTGAGTGGAGTGCGGGATCTTCCCCTCAGGGATTGAACCCGTGTCCCTGCAATGGAAACATGAAGTCTTAACTGCTGGACCACTAAGGAAGTCCTACGTCATGTTTCAGACTCCACATATAAGTGGTATCATAGGGTATTTCTCTTTCTGACTTACTTCACTTAGCCTGTCTGTGTCAGACAGAGTGCATGCTGCCATCCTTTTCTGTCTACAGATGACCAGCCTTCCTGCTTAACTGAAATGTCTGGACAGATCAGAAGGGAGTGGTCGTCATTGACCTGTGGAGGGTCACACCATTCACAGTCATCCATCATGCAGCATCTGTGCCCACAGCTAATGACCGCGGGCATGATCTGCCCAGACCCTGCTGCAGGGCTGATGGACACCCCAGCTGCGGGGAGTGTTGCCAGCACATAGCCCTCAGCGGTGAGTGCTCGCAGCTCCCTCAGCTGCAGAGAACCCTGACCAAGGGCATGCCGCCTTCCGAGGCCGTCCCCATCGCCGATTGGTCAGCTCTGTTTTAAAGCGCCATCCCTTCCCTTTCCAGGTTTTGATCCCAGAAGCCTTCCCTGATGCATTTCCTGGTGCCAACCTCTGTCTCAGCCTCTGCTCCCTGGAAGCTCGAACTGTGCCTGCTGCTCGGGGAGAGGGTGGAGCCCAGGGAGCGGTCCCCAGGAGGGTGTTGGAGCTGCTACTCTCTGCTGGCTGGCTTGAGAACCCTTCACTCTTGGCCGTGGAGCACCGCCCGTGGCACAAGATAATGATGAAGCTGTTGTTAAAAAGCCCACTGCAATGGGCGGATGGTAGTCTGCTGGGGGAGGATTCACTAGTGGGGTCCATGTGTCAAGAGTTTGAGAAATGGAGAGGAAGGGAGCAACTCCAAGGCTGGTGAGACGGCGTGGCCGTTGCTAAGCGTGATTCAGGCTTCAGGGAAAAAGGAAAGGAGAAGCTGAGAGTGATTCACTGGCAACTAAAAAGCCAGGGCTGAAGGCCACAGAGGCCCCCTGGAACACAGAAAGAGCTGCCCCCCAGCCTCACCGCCCGGTCACCTGGTGAGAAAGCCAAGGACGGGGTCCAGGGTAAAGCCAGCGCCGCTGAGCTCCAAGGTTGAACACGCGACCCAGGCAGGTCTGCTCCCCGGGGTCAGGCCCGGCAGGACCACAGGCTCCCGCAGCCTCTGCCCGCCTGCAGTCCGTCCACCGAGCAGTGCGGTCCGATAAGAGAGGAAAGAAGCCATGTCCGAGGCAGCAGCAGGCCTGTTGCCGCCAAAGCCAGGTGAGCCAGGGTCACGCAGGGTCAGGCCGTGAAATCGGATCCGGGAGAGCTGACTGGCGAGGGAGCCTTCTCCCAGGGTGTGGGATTGAACACCCCAGCGGGTCCCCTGGGGGTGGTGCCGACATGCCTCCTGGATGGCTGCTAGAAGCCGGAAACCAGCACGCGACCCCGACGCCAGAGTGACCGTGTCAGACGGCGGGAGAAGGGCGGTGAGGCTGGCAGAAGGACTGGCTGGGGAGGCCGTGCTGCGTGACGCAGGCCCGGAGTCTGCCTGTTCCGCGAGAGGCCAGGAGCGCATGTGCTGTTGGAGGGGCCCCAGCCCGGGCAAGGAGTTCTCCGGCTCCCCCGTAGGCCGGCTGGGGGAGACGCTGCCACAGTAACTGCCAGGGGGTGCAGAGCCCACGGTGACGGCAGCGAGATGGGAGGGGCCGCCGTGTCCTGGTCCGCAGGGTCACGGAGATGGTTACGGGCTCCTGGAAACCCTGGCTCAGTCTGTGGGACTGAAAGAAATCAAGGATGGGTGACCAACAGCTCACATTGTGCAGCTCCTCTAATTGACCAGGCCTCCTTTGCCTCAGCCAGAGTTAGGAGCCCCCTCCTCCGAGCTTGCACGCGGTGCCCAGTCCCCCCAGCTCGAAGCTAATGATGGTCGTTGGAGTCACCTGTTTACTGGACCTTCTCTAGCTAGACTGTGGGCTTTAGGAAGCAGGAGTCCTTTCTCCACGTGGCAAAGCAGTGCTCTTAACCACCAGCGAGAGTTTCCCGAGTGGGGTCTTCAGGCCAGCAGCTACAGCGTCACGTGTGGGGGGCTGGCTCTCTATCCAGTCATGTGACTGGCAGTGTGTTTGACTCAGTTGTCTATGAAGTGGATGTCTCGGCGATCCAAGGTTTGTCAGATACTTGCATTAAAATTTAAAAACACAAAGTTTATTCTAGACATTGGAGAGAATTCACTAAGCAGCATAGAGGTTTGATTACATGTTACTTTGGGATGCTAGTATTTGTGGAATTGAAAAGAATCAGGTACTTCTGTATTTTAGTTTTAAAATCTGTGTTCTTTAAATTCATAATAAGTGGATTCAGTTTGATACTTAGGAACATATAAAAAGGTAATGTGAACTTTTCTGCTTTGTTTCAAAGTTTTGGTTTTATGAAACCAGATGGATTGAAAACTTACATAAGCATCTGAACATTCAGATAAGTCTAATGATTTTCTATTACTATTTGAATATCTTCATTCCTCTTAAATTCATGAAAATTCTGTCTCTGAATAACCATATAAAAATATTTTGGTCTTCCTTCCTTCTTTCCGTTATTATTTTTGTCCTAAGTAAATAACACTTTTTGTTTTTTATTATCAAGGACATTTGTTGTTGTTGTTCAGTTGCCAAGTCGTGTCCAGCTCTCTGCAACCCCATGAATTGCAGCACGCCATGTTTCCTGTCCTTCACTATCTCCTGCAGCTTGCTCAAACTCATGTCCATTGAGTCAGTGGTGCCATCCAACCATCTCATCCTCTGTCATCCCCTGTTCTTGCCCTCAATCTTTCCCAGCATCAGGGTCTTTTCCAGTGAATCAGCTCTTCAAGAACATTTACATTTACTACAAAAACATACAACAAGTTAAAATCTTATGTGAATGATATTAATGCTGCTTTAGCAAACGGGGCTTCCTTATTAATATGAAAACTTAAGTTTCCACTTCTATCATTAATTCAGTATGCATGGTATTTTTAAAAATTTTATTGAACCATGGAACCGTATTTAAAACAATTTTTTAACCATGGAACTGATGTCTTGGAATGTTACCTGTAATATATTTACTGCTAAGTATATACAGAAAATACTAGTGTACAGTTTAATTTCCCTAAACAGTAGTTTTGTTTTGCCAAAATTTCATTTCTCTACATATTAATTCAGATTATGTTCTGCACAGCTCAGATGGTAAAAAATCTGCCTGCAATGCAGGAGACCAGGGTTCAGGCCCTGGGTCAGGAAAATACCCTGGAGAAGAGAATGGCTACCCACTCTTGTATTTTTGCCTGGAGAATTCCATGGACAGACAAGCCTGGTGGGCTGTTACAGTCCATGGGTCACAAAGAGTCGGATACGACTGAGCAACTAGCACTTTAACTGTCACTCTGCATTTTTATTCAGAATTCATAGTAAAGATGAAATAAGTTCAGTCACACACACACACACACACACACACACAAAACCCCTGTCTGGCACTTACACTACAATCCACCCTGTGATGCTGAGGCATTGGAGTCAGTGATAAAGACATTAGCAGCCTGGGCAGCAGATAAGTTAAAACTCAGGGGTAGAGCAAGTTGTGACCAATAAAATACACCTCTAAATCCAAAATGTGCAAATCCAATAATAATATACAGTCTGAAATGCACTCCATAGCTGTTGTCCCAGACTTAAAACATCCAGCCATGAAAACAGGTCAGTGAACTTGGGTGTCCTGGAAATTTGTTCATATATTTGGGTAACACTGAGCAATATTTCAGCATCTGAGCAAGTGTTGAGGTCTCCGAAGGGGTGGTGTGTCCCGGGGGGGCCATCTCTGGTGAAGGAGGCCAAGGCACCTCCAAAGGCAAACAGCCTGGGTGCTGGCCATGTGGTCTGAGATGGTGTCCTTTCCAGCAACGAGTCCTTTTTACTCAGAGGCGAGGTGCTGTGCAGAGTCATGGTAGGCGACTCTCCCATGTCACTGTTGGTGGGCGTATTGGTCGTGAGCGGGATGCAGGCTACCCTGATGTAACTTGGGGGCTTCCCCGAGGACAGAGCTGCGCATCTGCTGCTGCTCCTAGGGGACCAATTGTGAGGAGCCCCCTGGGGTGTTCAGGGGCACGTTCAGCTATGGGCCGGGTGGCTGCCCTTCATCCCCTGAGTACATTTCATCAGCATCGAAAGCACGTGAAGATCCTGGGTGCATCTCTATTTGCAGGCCAGGGAGGACCTTATGGATGCTGCTTCCTGGGACTGTCCCTTGAGGCGCAGGACAGATTATGGGAGCACAGTCCCTGGAACCAGATGAGTTTTATGTGCAGGCAACCACAGGGCCAGCTGGTGGCAGGGTTCCACGTATAGGAATCTGGGGGTGAGTATCATTAGACGCTGCTTCCAGAGGCCCAGTTGCCTGGAAAGGGAGTCCATCCCTTGCTCAGGGCTGGGTGGTCTAGAGCCCTGAGCCCTTCCGATAGGGCTCCCCAACCTTCCCCACTCCTCCACCCTGCGGCGCCATCACAGGTGGGAGTGGTATGTTCCAGTACTGGATCTGCATGATGGTTGGCCCAGGAGTGTAACTGTCATCCTGGCTGTGCAAAGTCATTTAGTCATAGCCACGTCGAGCACTGATGCTTGATGAGCTTGGCTGGGGTCATGGCTGAGCTGACTGTATATTGAGCGTGCCAATTCCCGGGGAGAAAGCTGTGGATTGTGGGTTACTGCGGCTCTTGTGGGATCCAACCATAGTTTGTGGCTTTCTCACCGTATTCTCATCTCTACCAAGCAGAGAGTTTCCTTCCCTCTTTCAGACACTCAGACTGTGCCAGGGATTGGTGTCCAGGCAATGATTTTTACTTCCTGTGAGTTAGGAGAGGGTCTGGTTTCATTTGGCACCCTTGTGACCTCTGTAAACAGGGAGAGCAGCCGGCCTGAAGGTGGCCCCTCTGTTGTCGGGGTTTTATTTTTTGTATTTTTTTTTATTAAATAGTTTTGGCACAGTGGTAAAGAACCTGCCTGCCAATGCAGGAGATGCTGGAGACATGGTTTCGATCCCTGGGTCGGGAAGATCCCTTGGAGAAGGGCATGGCAACCCACTCCAGTGTTCTTGCCTGGAGAATCCCATACAGAGAGGAGTCTGTGGGGTCACAGAGTCAGACATGACTCAGTTCAGTTCAGTTCAGTCACTCAATCATGTCCCACTCTTTGTGACCCCATGAACCCCAGCACGCCAGGCCTCCCTGTCCATCACCAACTCCCAGAGTCTACCCAAACCCATGTCCATTGAGTCGGTGATGCCATCCAACCATCTCATCCTGTCGTCCCCTTCTCCTCCTGCCCTCAATCTTTCCCAGCATCAGGGTCTTTTCAAATGAGTCAGCTCTTTGCATCAGGTGGCCAAAGTATTGGAGTTTCAGCTTCAGCATCAGTCCTTCCAATGAACATCCAGGACTGATCTCTTTCAGGATGGACTGGTTGGATCTCCTTTCAGTCCAAGGGACTCTCAAGAGTCTTCTCCAACACCACAGTTCAAAAGCATCAATTCTTCGGCGCTCAGCTTTCTTTATAGTACAACTCTCACATCCATACATGACCACTGGAAAAACCATAGCCTTGACTAGACGGACCTTTGTTGTCAAAGTAATGTCTCTGCTTTTTAATATGCTGTCTAGATTGGTCATAACTTTCCTTCCAAGGAGTAAGTGTCTTTTAATTTCATGACTGCAGTCACCATCTACAGTGATTTTGGAGCCCCCAAAAATAAAGTCTACCACTGTTTCCACTGTTCCCGATCTATTTGCCATGAAGTGATGGGACTGGATGCCATGATCTTAGTTTTCTGAATATTGAACTTTAAGCCAACTTTTTCACTCTTCTTTTTCACTTTCATCAAGAGGCTCTTTAGTTCTTCTTCACTTTCTGCCATAAGGGTGGTGTCATCTGCATATCTGAGGTTATTGATATTTCTCCTGGCAATCTTGATTCCAGCCTGTGCTTCCTCCAGCCCAGTGTTTCTCATGATGTACTCTGCATATAAGTTAAATAAGCAGGGTGACAATAGACAGCCTTGACGTACTCCTTTTCCTATTTGGAACCAGTCTGTTGTTTCATGTCCAGGTCTAACTGTTGCTTCCTGACCACATGACTGAGCACACACACACAAAAAGCTTACTTTTAAACTTTTTTTGATGTGGACAATTTTTAAAGTCTTGATCGAGTTTCTTACAATATTGCTTCTGTTTTTGTGGTGTTTTTTGGTCACAAGGCATCATGTGGGATGTTAACTCCCCCTCCAGGGATGAACCCACCCCCCTGCACTAGAAGGGGAGTCTCATCCACCGGACCACCAGGGACGCTCCTGTCAGGGTTTTAGAAGAAATGATCTCACACTTGCGCTTACTGAGCATCTGCCTGGGAGCCACACAGCCATGAACGGTCACGGGCCATCTGTCCTCAATCAGGTCACCAGTGCAAAGCCTGCTGCTGCTGCTGCTGCTGCTGCTGCTAAGTCACTTCAGTCATGTCTGACTCTGTGCAACCCCATAGACGGCAGCCCATCAGGCTCCCCCGTCCCTGGGATTCTCCAGGCAGGAACACTGGAGTGGGTTGCCATTTCCTTCTCCAGTGCATGAAAGTGGAAAGTGAAA